GGGTCCCACCAGGACCCCACATCACCCTTGTCTCGGTCCCGATCCGTATGGCATTCCCGCTTAACAAAGCTCGAGACCTTTCTCCGCCTACGTCCTCCAGTTGCAACAACTGTTCAAGACTATCCTCCTACCCTATTCCCCAAACTCACGGCAAAATTGGACGGGCTAATACCAAAACGTTGGAGAGGCATTGCACGTGTTGTGTACATTGTGCTATGGCTTGCACTGGCCGTGCTCCTCGTCCGATTGAACACTTACAGCTGCAACGTGGAGGTCGACGGTGCCCGCCAACCTCCACAACTCATTGGCTGTACCTCCCAATTTTGGTCTTCAACGCCAGGAGATTGCGGACCATTCGGGTTATACTGTCGTCCATTCACAAACGCCTCATTTTTCTTTCGCTGCCCAGCACAATGCGGACAAGTTTACAATCAGAATATCCGGTGGCTGGGGCTAGATAGGGCAGGATACATGAAGCCTTGGATCGTGGGAAGTGGGCCCTATCGTGGAGACTCATGGATTTGTGGGGCTGGTTTACGGGAGGGGCTTATCAGTGACGGATGGGGAGGGTGTCTTGAGGTGGAACTCATTGGCAGCGTACCAGTTCTGGGAGCTGACAATACGACGGTGCTTGCGCCATTCACATCCGTGCCGGGGCATGGTATCACACCAATGGAGTTTGACTCATGGTTCCCAAAAACCTTCACCGTGCGACAATGCCCGGCCCCTCGACTGTGCACTGATTTTGGATGGGCCATCCTGCCAGTCTACGTGGTCATCTTACTCGGCTTCACTTGCCTGATGCATCCAAGAAAGTCAACTTTCGTCCTTACCCTTGTCATATCCTCATTTTGGCTCTCGGCCCTCTTCAATGCCCCAAAAAGTGACTCCTACCTCTCTGGCACTTTCGCATCATTCATGGCGGTATTAGCTTTCACACACGTCCTGTATACCTTCTTCGTCACCCACTCCCTACCCTGGCCCTCCTCTCACCCCATCGATCTGACCATCTTCTACATCCTCCCCTTCATGGTAGCTCTCTACATGGAGTCCTGGTCATCCATATTCTCCGATTTCTCTTTCACGTCGCGTGCGTTTCAGGAAACACGCACAACGGTCTTATTCGTAGTCATCATCCTTATTGTAGTGTTAGTGGCAGGGTTTCAAATGAGAGCGCTGCGACGATATGGTTGGTTGGGACGGTACATTGTAGTGTACGGCATTGTCATCCTAGCATACTTTGTGATTCCGCTGGCATTATCATTATACCCGCATCTGCATCATTATATATTTGGCATGGCCCTCGTGCCCGTCACAAAGGTTCGAAGTAGGGCGAGTTGGATGATACAGGGGTTTGGGATGGGTTTGATGGTAAGTAGGTGCATGCATTGGTTGTTAGTCCTTTCACTCGCACATCATTGGCATAATGATATGGAATTATTCTTTGTTTCGATAGACTCAAGGATTATCAAGATGGGGTCTAGCCTCACCCTTCGACACCGCCCTCCAAAACTCCTTCGGAAACCCCACCGGAACCCCACGCCCAGACTTTTCCTTCAACACCACCCTCATCCGCCAAAATGCCACCATAACCTGGACATTCCCCGGCCTCAACATCACCTACCCTCCCACTGCCTCCTCATCCTCAACACCAGATATCTCGGATTTAGGCTACGACGCCTTCTCCCTCGTAGCCAATGATGTAGAAATATACCGAGGTGTCGACCCATGGTTCCAGTTTAACTTCTTGCGAAATGGGCCGGGGAATGGGACGGTGAAGGCTAATGCGGAGGTTGGGGGGTCGCCACCGGTGGGAGCGGGGAAGGTGCCGTGGTATTTGAGAATTGCACTTGTGAGTGGTGGAGCGAGTTTGGATTATTCGGATCCGGTGGTGGTTTTTGGGAACGGGACGGTTGTGTTTGGGAATGGGACTGTTTTGGAGTGATTGGTGTGTTTCGGCTGCGGGTGGTGATATTGTGTGGGTGGAACGTTCACTGGGGCGTCTACAGAGATGGTAGCTTGGCCAACCACGTTCGGCATCGCCACTCAAATCTGCTCGACGATTTCAACCGTTCACTTCATCCATACCGTCACCATTGTACTCTCATGGTCCCCATCCCGTGTCGACGACAATCGGCAAGAGCGAAGGTCAAAGTCAATAAACCAAGATTCCCAACATTTTTTCCCACGAATGACTTGGAGGAAGTCACTTTTCGTTGGCTTGCGGCGATTCACTCGGTGAGAAGCAATGTGACAATCCCAAGGTGTACGATGACACCAATGCTTGTTGCAGTCTGATAATCGTTTGGGGATTCTGGAGTGGTGGCGGACGGGGCAGGAGTGGCTAATGAAGCCAATCCGTCAATTTCGGAAGTGGCGTCTCCTAGCAACGGTCGGGTGAAGTGGGGGCAAATTCATTGTTCATAGCTGTATATATCGCACATATGTATTTTCATGTAATGTAGAGGCTCTGGGTCATTAGACTCTACCGCATGATCTCCGATTGATTCTGACGTTACGGGATCCCTTCTCGTCAAAGGCATACTGATAGTTTGAGTTTGGCAGATACCTATGCTCGCGTCTCTTCAAAGGGACTACGTTTGATGTGCGAAATATGCCATCAACTTGCATCCAGTTTAAACTGCTTCGCAGGATGCCGAGCGTCAAGTAGACTTCATTGAATGACGTCTTATTCATGATATTACATTGCTCAGAACACTTAATGCGAAGCAAAACAGCAAGTTATCATTGTTATTCTACATGGTTGTAGAGTAACAATGATGGACCGCTTGCTGTTTTGCTTCGCATTCTCGATACACTGATTCGCTAATTTTGGTATACAGAAATGCTCGGCATGCTGTTGGTGCGATTACATTCTCAGTCAAGTTACTCTCCTGCTGCTGTTAAATGCGGTACAATATCAACGGATTGATACGTATCAACGATTTCAAAGAGCTCACCATGGCTGGGGCAGTTGGGATGGAATGCGCCAGCCGCCACCATTTTGGCAAATATCTCGCATGGGCAACCCTCCGATGCCCTGGCACAAAAAACTGTCCATTCAAACGTGAGGGAGACGGCATGCAGTGCCACCCGCAGCATCTTTGTGCGCCTGGAATTGCTGCATCCTGTTCGTCGGGGTGGTATCTACATTAGCAAATCCTATAAAAACAATGGGATTGAGGAACGCGAGATTTCTACTTTTCTTTTTGGAAGGACTGTCACCGCCGTGCTTTTGTCGAATCTGACACAAGTCTAATTCGCCTAGCGCCAATCAGTGTCTCTTTGCAGGCCCTTGCCTTACTGTTTCTCAGTTTCACGGTTGGTGAGCTCTTTCAACGCCCATTCAGAAGCGCTCATTTTCATCAATGCTGATGAATTTTCTCTTAATAAGAAAAACACTCTAGCGTCAAAGATGGTAACTGACACTACGACACCAGCTACGACCATGACGCCTAACTTGCCTACACCCAAATGTGCCTCGTGCCCAGTCCGCATAATCAACGGGAACATGTACTGCCGCATCTGTCAAACCTACTATGATTTATTGCCATCCTCCACCACCGAGATTACCACCTTGCCTTCCGGCGGCATAACCTATGACGGCGCTTCCGAGTACATGTACACCGTACCAAAGCAGCGATATCGAAAGAACGTGCGCGTAGCTTGTTGGAGATACTGGTAAAAAAGAGGAATTTGGACAAGAAAGGGAGACCGTTCGTTATGACCTCGTTCGACAATGTGAATGGGGAAAAAATAGATTATAGCTGCATCTGTGACGAGTTGGGTATGCAGAGCAATACCATCAAGCATAGATCCTTGGCTGGAGTCAATGCCATGCATGACTCTGTTTTTGTGAAGAGAAATATTGGCGTGACGTCTTTGCATGTTTTTATGAGAGACAAACTGGACAAGGTAAGCCTCTTTCAATTACAATTGATTGGTTTGCTTTGGACACCTAAGTGAGTTCCCTGAATGGCATTATTATCGTCAACTTGCGGTCATTTATAACGCATTTGTCCCACTCCCTTTGGTCTTTTAGATGCCGGATAACTACGGCCGCGCTCACTACTATCAGTCCCTGCGGGGCGTCACTGCCGAACATACATGTGCGACACTGCACCAACTCTCCGCCGAAATCTTCTACTGCCCCGGATGCTGTGCGTACATGCGATGGCCTTCCTTCCCCTCACCAGAGACCGCACCCACCAGCGCCATCAAAATACCTCGCGTCGGACTCTACATTCCCGAACGGCACTTACATGGTCTGCAGACGATGTGGAAGGGACGTAGAGGCATGGAGTTCGGATGGAATTGGGTTGAAGTGTGTCTATTTCATACCAGTGGTGTGAACGTGGAGGCCCTTTTGGCAATGGAGGGTGTAACACGGGAGATAGTTGCCGTTCATGCTGCCATGCACTCTATCTATCTATGTGACCCAGAGATGCCTTTTGCTCCTCGATATACTCTCTGGGTATCCATGAACCCTCAAGCCAATCCCGGAACGACGGCTGGGGCAGTTTCTGCGGCTGCCGTTACCGTACAATTTGTAACTGCCCTGACGTTGGGGATGCTCTGATGAAAGCACCAGCTGCTGGCAGCATTTGTGCAAACCATCAGGGAACACGTGGGGATGGAAAGAGTTGGATTTGTAGATTAGTTAAGTAGTAATATATCCAAGTGAAGTGATGAACAGGTTGTAAATGGCGGTTGAGAGAAAGCAAAACCACGCCATTGTATATGCTGGGGTAGACCCAAGTGGAATGGTGACAAACGCGGCACGTTCTTCGATGGATGAGTGCAGTTGTTGATCCCCACAGTGCAAGCCAGGGGTACATCAGTAAAACGTAGCGCTCATGATTGGGCAGCATCATGCATTCATCCTCCCTTTCCTCTGATTGGACATAAGTTGCTCATCAACCATTCCGATCCACTGCACCTCCATAGGCAACCCATAAGCAATATCGTGTTATATTGAAGATTTTTCACCACTCAAAAACGGGGCCTTGGCGCAACGGTAGCGCGTCTGACTCCAGTTCTGGCTGACGTCAAACGGAGGAAACATCAGAAGGTTGCGTGTTCAAATCACGTAGGCCTCATTGACAAGTGGCATTTAATATTTTTGCTTGCCTGCGAATTGTTTTTGCTACTCTGCTATGTCTGAGTGAGGGGATGATGGGTGTGGAACTGCACGGCGCGGTGGCCTTTTTGCTCCTCAATGAATATGCATCGAGCACTTTTTAATGTGTTTTTTACGGTGAAACTTCATACAAGTACAACATATACACAATATACAGTCATCGGTGGTAGCGAAGGTTGCCCAAAACCTGGTAGTCGGCATTAAGGTCGCAACGGCATGCCAAGTTTCTCATATATGGCATCAATTGTTTGCATGTTTGCGATTGCGTCCTGCGCAATAATCACACAGGCACTGGTCAGTCAATCTGACTTGTCTGTAAACAATCGCATGCATCTGTCCGGGTCATACCTCCACATCAGTCAAGCCCACGTCCCCAAAACCAGTGGTGCGTTTGGTCTCAACAGCTTCCAAGAAGGCCTTCATTTGATACCAGTAGGTGGTTTGTTGTTCCTGGTGTGATGAAAATACGGTATTGTCAGTCCCTACCCAAGAGGTTTGGAGTGGGCGAACTTGGCAATTGCATTACCTCTCCATAGATCTTCTTAGACAACTTTGTCCCATCTCTCTTCGTCAAAGTAACATTATGCCACAAATATGGAGCTACAAAATTGCTAATCCACATCGTCCCCTCCTCTCCAACAATTTCAATACTCAACTCCATGTCAAATTTCCCACCTTTTAGCGAGGAAATGATCCGGGACTTGATGCCAGTTGGATATAGAAGAGTTGCCTCTGTTTTGGCGTCAATTCGCTCATCACCCTTCCATTTTGTGGCGGTTGCGGATTCAACAGTTGGGATGGATGCTGCCAGGGGATCAGGATTGGCAGATGCTATGGCAGCGTGAAGCGCTACAAAACGGGAGGCGGAGATGGAGTAGCAGCAGTCCATTAGAGAGCCACCAGCTAGGTCATAGTTGAAACGGATGTCAGTGTCGGAGAAGATGATGCCGGGGATTTTCATAGTTGCATTCACCTATAGGGAAGATGACTGAGTTGGCATATTGCCAGTTTGGGCACGAGCTGCCTGCACATCACTGCCAATGGCAACTGACCTCTTTGATCTTTCCAAGACTCCAACCACTACCTTCTTTCCCCAAAACAACACTTTTGATAAACTGTGCAACAGGATGCGACTTCCAATGAAATGCTTCCACAAAGACCAATTCGGCCCCTTTATGACCATCATTATACTTCTTCAACGCATATTGTATACTCCTCGCCTGCTCCGCATTCGACGCAACCGGTTTCTCACACAAGACATGTTTACCAGCCTCAATCGCCTTCACGGCCCATTTGTGATGCAGCCCATTAGGTAATGGAATGAACACAGCCTGGATGTCCGGGTCACCCAGCACATCCTCATAAGAGTCATGAACGACGGGAATGTTGTTTTTTAGCAAATACTGTTGCGCGGACTTTGTCTCGCGCGGCGACGGCGTATGCGCGGCCGTTGGGAAGGTTTGTGAGGGGGTTTGTGCAGGCTAGGGGTGCTATGTTGGCGGCGCCGAGGATGCCTATGTTGATGCAGGTTTCGGCTTTTGGGACGGGGGTGCCCATGAAGATCTTGTAGAGGTGCCATACCATTTTGACACGTTTTCATGGAGTGAAACGTTTAGCGTTCGGTTCGATGCAGCTCCAGGTGATGGTGTGGGAAAAACTACATGTATGTATGCGGATGGGGAGGACGGGCTGCCAGGGCCGGGTTGATTTTGAGCTATTCTCCCACACCGTGTTTTTGCCTGTCCAGCCCGCGAAACACATCCCGCAACCTGGGAAGCCCACCATAATCTAAACATCCGCATGTTACCTATGTATTCAGTGAACAATGGAAAATCCGCCAAAATCCATTGCCTTTAAATCACTTGAATTACTTAATGTGTCCACCAAATACCATCTCATATTCGGGTGAATTCACTGAATTCTTGTGTCTAGCAATTAGCGACACGCCAAAACCGCAATCAATCACATTTGCAGAGATTATTGCCCCGCATCAAAAGACAAGGACACAAGCATATATGTACAATGAAACAGGACATCCCAAAACCGTCCTCTGATCATCATTTATACAACCCACATTTTCATTTCCCAGCGTGACAGGCATACGCTGCCATGCCGCCAATGTGCCAATACATGCACAACCCAACTGCAAAAAACTCATCTATACATCCCGCATTCAACCCAAATCCTCCCAAGGCAACCTCTCCCCCAACATACTACTCCCCCCAACAACACCCACACTCTCCCCCATCCCCGAACTACCCCCAAAATACGCCCCTGCAGCACCCGAAAACCCCGTACCAAACTCCCCTCCACTAAAATCTCCTCCGGTTCCCGCGCCGAGATCCTGCGTTAACGAGTCTAGAACGGAGGACGAAATGAGTTGTTGGATCGGGCATGGTTCAGTTGTTGATTCGGGCTGAAATGTGAATTGGAAGGGCTCGTGATGTTGCTGCTGCTGCTGCTGTTGTTGTTGCTGTTGCTGATGGTATAGATCTATAAGATCGAGGTGTTGTTGCATGGTGTGGGAGTGGGGTTCGACGTGTTGGTGTTGCATAAGGGAGTGCTGTTGTTGTTCCTGTTGTTGATGAGACTGCAAATGGCTATTAAAGTGCGTAGAGCCTGATCCGCCGGACGGGAACGCAGGTGTCGAGTTTGATGACGACAAAAGGTTCGAAAGTTCCAGGATTGGATCAGTCCCAGTTCCATCTGACATGCCATGCGACGAGTCCACCGGATCGATTATCACGGATGGATAATTGTTGGGCATGGGAGGCGTCCAAATGTGTTCTGTTAGAGCGTCCGATTCCGACGGCGACGTAATCGGGGTGGGGAAGTTGAAGGATGGATCGACTAAATTGCTCTCAGGAAAGATGGCGTTCGATGGACCCAAACTGAAGGGAAAGTTCTGATCGGAGAACGTTTGGTCGTACGGCAAACTGCCCGAGATGTCCATCTGATTCATCATCGCAATGGGTAGGATCGGGGGACTTAACGAATTGTCTGGCGAGCATGTGCGGTGCTGTTGCGGGATGGGGCTAGAGAAAGGTTGGAATAGTGTGTGCGGCGGAGAGAGTGGAGATCCGATGCCATCGGACATATCGTACGGCGAGCGCGGTGGTCCTGGTGGAATGTCCATTGGTGACTTTGGCCCCAGCATCGGATATCTGGACGACAAGTCACCATCAGTATACTCGGGTGGCGATAAAGAGGAAAGGAGTGGCGAGATGGGCGTGATGGGACGATGGGAGTCGTAGCCTCTCGGGTGGGCGGGTGGTGAGCGAATGAAGCCGTCACGTCCGGTACGGCGACGCTTTGCGTCAATGGGTATGGCACCGGGTGTGTACGAAACACCATTGTTGAAGTTGGGGTTTGCAGTTGTATGACGATTGAAGGATGGAGGTTCCGGCCGCTTGTATGGTTGCGACCGAGGAGGACGATGTGGGTTGCGCATAGGGATGGAGGATTCGCCCATGGAATGTGAAACTGCTCCAGTGAGAGTAGATCGCGAAACCGGATGCTTTGAATCAGCGACCGGGCTTTGTTGATCAGCTGGCACTGGAATAGGGATTGGCGCGTTATGAGAGCCGACGGCTTTTGATCCGGATGATGTAGTGTTGACCGGCCTTGGCGAGTTCCGTGCCACTGTGGAATGGTTCTTGTTGCGGGTTGGTTTGAGATTATGTACACGAAAGTTGGCGGGATCCAGCAAGTCCGGCGATATTTGTATTTGACCAAATTCCGATGACGGGGTACCGAGCAGTCCGTTGAGGACGTCTTCCTTACGATAGTATGAAATCTGTAATTTGACAATGAGGACTCGTTTCATCATGATTGCCAGAGCTTATTGCTTACCAAGTGAGTCAAACTTCCTTTCAAAGTGATGGAGAAGGTCTTCTTGACTAATCCATCATCTTTCAATACGAACCCAGCCTTGGCGACGCCCAAGGTTGGAAGGCATAAACTTTCCGAAAGTTGTGCATCCCCCTCAAATCCTTCCCTCTTGATTTTCATCAAGTTGTCCGACTGTTCGTCCGTCATCCCACCCGGAAACTCCGTTCCATCTCCGACTGCACGTTTGTCAACTTCACGGTAAACGAGGAAATTGCCCAAAACCCGGCTGGGACTCCACCCCTTCCCGTCAGTCCATCTTCGCACACCCGAATCCTTTTCATTGAAAATGAAAATGGAGCCGGACCGAATATCGCGCCTGTCCTTCTCGCCCAGCCTCCGCTTCACTTGCTTCAAAACATTGCGGCGACAGCACTCAAAAAGTATTAGAGCGTCGCGAGTAGTCTCAATGTACCCGAAATACGTTTCGGCCCCATTCATGGACGCTGCGGTAGGTGATTGATGCGTGGAAAGACTCGCTGAGGGTGTCGGCGGTCTGTGTGTTGTTGCTGAAGTGAACGTTGTGATTTGATTATGCAGAACGGGTATAGGGTGCTGTGTTGCAAGCTAATCCATTCCATATCCAAACAGTGTTAGAACAAGATCCATGTATCCGAATAGGGGTCTGTTTACCTACCATAAAAAGACAAAATTGGAAGAAGAGAGCGCGTTACTTGAAAAGATACGAAAATCCCAACTTTCTCAACCACCAATTGGATCAATATGTCAATTCTATGTCAGGTCGTAGGGTGAAGCAGTATCCAGGGACCAGCCAACAAAACTACGATGAAGGATACTACGCGTTCAAGGACTATGTAATGATAAGTAGAACACTGCCTGTCTTTTGAAGCAGGTTGGAAAGAGATGCAGGGAAGAGATGGAAGTGAGGAAGAATGGTGTTTGCTGCACCTGAAAAGGTTGTAAGGAAGGGACAATACGGTCCATGGGTGCATCCCATCCCAGTCAGCCAGTCAGCCATACACCACCGGATGTTTCGATCTTTGAGCACTCCGGTGTGCGCGCAGTAAACATGGGTAATTGGGGGGGCTGGATTCGTGTCGAGGCTGGCCG